TATGTATTTATGAATAAAATTTAATAAATTTAACTGCACAAATAATGTATGGTTGTATATTTCATTTTGTTATGTAATAAAAATAAATGTAAAAAGGTAGTAACATAAATGTAATTTAAATGAGGCATTTAATAAAAAAAAGGAATTTAAGTATATAAATAATATTATTTTTCATCAGGATTAACTAATTTGCGTATATTACAATAAAATTTGTTATATTTATTAACTTAAATCGTATTACTTTTGTATTAAAACTATAAAATATAAGGAACTAATGTTTTATTAAGTCGTAAATTTTGAAGTAGTAAATTTATAATTTATAAACATATCAAAAATAAAATTTAGATCAAACATTTCACTGTTGCTTAATTATTATATACTATTATATACTATATTATAAGTATATTTAATGTCACATTTTTTATAGTTCTATTTTTATTTGATCGTAAATACAACAAAATGATAGTTATTATGATATATTTATAAAGTATTAGTTTATTTTTAAAAAATACAAGTTTCTAAGAGATAATTATTTTAATAATTAAAAAATTTTAATATTTTGAAACCCTACATTCAGTAAATAAATAATAATTTAAAATACTTTATTGCCAATGAGTTACGATCTATTTTTATAAATTTAAACAGATTATATAGCTGAATATATATATTTTATTTTCTTATTAAGTACATTAATAGTTAAGAAAGTTTTTCACTTTTTGTATATTATAAGTATTTATAATAAAAATAGTGTACAATACACGAGAGTCAATATCAATCACTTATTCACTATAGTTATTCACGTGATTTATGATTATTTTTTATTTATTCATCATACACTTGTATCTCTAATGGAAGAAGTATTTAATTTATTTTAAGCTTATATACTTGTAAAATCAAACCGATTATTTTAAGTATATGAATTTATTGACTGTAAATGAATATACGTTAAAAATTCAAATATGTAGTCTTAATAAATTTTTTGTTTTTCTTTTTAAGATGAATCTGATTAACATAGACTGATTAGATTAACACAAACTGATTTATTATATTAAATTAAATAGTTTGACAGAACATTACTCGTTATTTTATATTAAAGAGTAATAATTCTAGAGTGATTATAATAAATCGAATTTGAGAAATCTTATGGAACAACAAAGAAATACCTTAGAAATCTTCAAACTTATACCTGTTGTATATATTTTAAAATGTGTAAATAACATTTGATCAAATATGTTATCTATAATTTAGGTACTAGAATCAATCAATGATAATCATTTTAAAAGTATCATAATTCTCTATTTGGAATAAAGACATTTTGAAATTTTAGTATTAATAGATTTAAAAGTATATAAAATACTTTTCAAACAATGATTTTAACAAAAAATAATATTTGATAAAAAACGTATAATAAATAATATATAATAATTTCAAAATCTTAATTCAATTAAATCATTGAATGTTTTATAAATTGTGGAACGAATTAAAATAATAAGTATAAAAAAATGTACAGTTGCAAAAATAAGTTTCTTTGATACGATAGTTAAAATTTACTTTAATACTGTGTAATAGATATTATGGAAAGAAAAATAAGGAAAGATAAAGTTAACTTGACAGAAAAATCAAGGAAACAAAACTATTTCATATAAGTTTTTATAAAGACAATATGATTTAAAAATAAAAATATAGAAAATAATAAATTTAAATTTACATTAATTAATACGACTTTTAATAGATATTTGTATTAAAATACAAACAGAATAGTTAGAAAATATAATATTTTTGCAGATGCAAACTGAAACTGGAAAACAATTTTTATGCCCTATCAGTCATTGATCTAAATGATCATTACCGTTCAATTTTAAATAAAAATCTATAATAATGAAAATTATATGTAATGTTAATTATATGTAGAGAAATATTTGGTACAATAATTTATTATATCCGTTATCGTCGTAAGATCTTTGTAATATATTTCTTTGTACATTTCCAAATATAATTTTTATTACAATTACTTACCACATTTACAACAATATTAATAACATTTCTTGGAAGTTTAATGAAAAAAATACTATTAATAAATTTATAAAAGTATGAAAAATAATATTTAGACAGTTTACAAAATAATTTAGTTAGTAAATTACGTAACTAAATTATGTAATTATTTATATTATTTAATTATTCTTAATTATTAAAATGGTATATTACAAAATTATATATAAATTATATATATATTATTACTATTCAATAATTAATACCTACAATTTTTTATTTGTATTTTTATAAATGTCCGAATTATATATCATATTGTTTAATATTATAAAATATAATAAACAAAAAAATAATAAAATAATATAAAAACCATATTATATAAACCAATAATATATAAACCATAATATAAATTCTAACATACAAACATATACGAATTAAATCAAATTAAGATGGCAAATAATGAAAAATCATAATAATAAATTTAAAAAATTGAAAATTATTTTACATCATTTTATTCATTTAAAGTAATCATAATAAATCTATATAAAAGATATTCAGATTTTCGGTTATGTTCAATGGTGCGACGTATGGTACGAAAATTTTTAAATATTTTTTTAATAAACCACATTAAAATAAATGGGTGTACATTTAGTATATTCCATTTAATTTACCTAAAATTCTTTGAATAGTTCTATAATTAATTAAAAACAATCTTTGTAAATTCGTAATCGATAATCTATTAAATATTTTATTATAAAATTTTTCCAACATTTTCAAGTAAATATATTTAAAAATGATGACTGTACACATATCAAAAATATTTAATAGTTTTATTTCAATATTCACATAATTTGGAGATTTAAAAAAAATAAAAAATTCTTTAACAACTTATTCATTTTATTACATTATAAATATCAAATATACTAATATAGCATATATAATAATATTGTGGATCAAATTAAGTGTAATCCCTATAATTTCAAATCAAATGTAAATGATGTTTATCATAAATAAAGCAATTGTCTACTGTCTATTTTTTTCATTCTTAATTTAATTATAATCTAACTTCATTTACATTTAACTAATTTGTATTTTCTTATAAAAGAGAAGAATTTAATATTATCATTGTTTTAAATTTTAAACAGATTCACTATATCGTAAATTAACTAGTGCATGATGATATCTATAAGTTTAACTTAAATTATATTAAGGATAAGTAAATAAGAAGTATTTATTATACTATTGAGATATGCTTAATAGAGGTGTTATTTATTTTTATCGACTCTGCTTCTATCAGTTTTACCTAATGCTAATGTCGTTATTATCATTAATACAATTATATTGAGTAAAATATTATATAAATATCTGCTAGTTTCATGTAGTTATTAATATAATCTTATTTAGTTAACAAATAAGTGTCTAAATAAATGTGTGCAATTATATTCTAGCGGACAATTAAAGTTCAACTTCTGAAAGAAACATTACATTTATAACATTATTTCGTTATTTGACCAGTAATATATTTATTTTGTATTGTGTTAATAAATTCATTTTATTTTAAAATTGAGCTTGTATATATTTTTTAATAAAATAAAAATAAAAATTACAAGAGTACCTAATTTTATAGTAATAGCGGTATAGTAATAAATTTTAATACAGTCAATAAAATGCCATTGTCATCAACTTTAGGAACGATTAATTTCATAATTACATATGAATAGTTCATAATATCAGAATAGTGTTTTTGTTAATTAATTTAATAAAGGTCTCTTTTCTTCATTATTTCTTAAAATAATATTAATTTGTATATATATATATATATAAATAAAAAATTATTAATATATATAATAACAAATATTTAAGTTTCAATTGAATAACTGTTTAAATTCAGTTAAATAATTATTAAACATAAATTATTTTAACGTGTCTAATTTCAACAAGATTTTCTTTTTGAATTACTTTTTTGTTTATTGTTTTGAATTACCCTTAATTAAAATAAAGGAAAATGGTTATTTAAACATACTAAGTTTTAGATTAGCCTTAAACACATTTGTTACATAATTTAGTTTAGTCTTAAATATTGTTTCAAAAAGTTTACCAGTACTTTAACTATGCGTTAAAAAATAATTTTGAGGATGCCGTATAGGCAAGAATTATTGCAAATGAAACAACAAATTACAATAATAATTGATGCTAGGATTCACTATAAAATAATTTTTAAATAAATAATTCATTGTAAGAGTTTAATGTAGCTGTAAGAGTATGGATCGTGAAAAAGGTGTCAAATTTGTAAAATTCCACATATCACTAAGGTTTGTGATCTGAATAAATTCGGTGACGTGTCTATTAGTCGTTGGGGGATTAAGCTTATGCTCCTCTTAACGGTGATTCCATTGCTATACTCTCTCTCTCTTTTTCTCTTTTGCTTGCTAGCTCCTCTTCTGTCCTTCTGTTACTCCACCACCCCATGTGTAGGAGAAACCAGGGCACACACGCGCGCGCGCGCACGCACACACATATATATATATATATATATATATATATATATATAATGGATATATAAAGGACATATAAAAAAATATATAGGATGAAAAGGGATAAATATATACAAATCAAAATGAGGAAATTATATATATATATATATTCCTCTTTTTCATCTCTAATGCTCCTGCTACTCATTCACTCATTTACTTCCTCTTTATGAACTTCTTAAGCTTCTACCAGAATCTATAGGAGCAAACTTGTATTTTCTCTTTCTCTTGTTCCGTCTCTTCTCTTTATCATCCGACAGTTGCTGTCCCCTCTCCCTTCTTTCTCTTGTGTCCTCGTACGCTTCAAAGCACTCGGGTGAGTGACTCGCTGATTTTACCGTTGGTTTTCTCGTGTGGCTTGTGGAGCCGTATAGAGGGAAAGGCCAATAATACGAATAGCGTTGGACGTGCGGGGCAAGCGAACGAGTCGCATGTGTACAACGCGTCTGAAAGGCCAGTCAACGAGCGGGATTCCATCGTCGAGGTCCTTACAAGCGAAAAAAAGCAAATTCAGTTAGTCTGGTTCTACTCTATCCATCCTCTACAAAAAGTACTGTATCACAGAGACAAACTCACCAGTTCCTGCCGTATTTTTAGAGTACTCGCGCGTTTGTAAATAAACAATAATTGAAAAAGAGGCGTGAGCACAAAAGAAAAATAAGGAGAGAAAGAAAGCTGAACGGATAGAGATAGAAATACGCAAAAATAAAAGAAAAGTTAGGAGAGAGGCACTATCTTTAAGACTTTTGAATTATCTACGGATTGGAATAGAGCGTAACAGGTAGGTCACTGAACTCCTTTTCGACCTTGTGGAATGTATGTTGTGAAGAGGACTGAATCTCCTGAGTGCAAGCTCTTTGGACTTCTTCACTTATCTTTTTTTATTCCTTATTCACCAATTTATTGGAACTTACTATTCTCCGCATTTTTCTATCCTTCCAAATTATAGGTTTCTGTTCAATCGGCAGTACTTCCTCCTATAATAAAACTACGATCGTATATCCTGAGCAATGATCTATTTAACTAGAATCAGTTTGTTCCTATTTTGATATATTTTCCCATTGCAATAGAAAGTATACAAGAATATTAATAAACTCTTAAACAGTTCAAAAAATTTTAATTTTGAAAAATTTAGCAATTTTTTTTATTTACTCACACTATACTAAATATTAAATTCATAAATATGAAAGTATTCAAACAACATATAATTATATATTATTCCTTTATACATTAGATTATAATATTCATATATGCCTTTCAAATTTACGTTCATTAATTTATTTTATTTAACATCTATCATAATTGAATTAATTAAAATGTCTTTGTAAGAAAATGTTTCTAATTTATAAATGGAATAATATGTAGTAAAAATAAAGTGAAAATGATATGAATTTTAGTAGAATAACATCTATAAACTATAATTCTTCAAAGGTTCATTTTGAATATAATTATTTTTAAGTTTATCCTACATATTAGATCAAAAGTTTTTTCAATTAAAATTCAAAAAAAATTTTTAATAAGTGCTATTGAATTTTTGTTTAATTTCTTTTTATTGAAATTTTTAATGAATTTATCGTAAAAAATTTTTAAATTCGTTGATTTATAGCTAACTGGTACACACATAATTCTATTTATTTTACATTTTTTATGCACATAAAGTTACTATAAATTATGCCATGAATGACAAATTCTGTAGTTAAAGTAATAATATGATTTTTATATTATTAATTAATAATATTATTCAATATATACGAAAAATATTTTTAAATACTAATAATTATAAAATTCCACACTTTAAATATTAGAATCATTCATTGTAAAATATGAATATCTAATATTTAACATACATTAAAAATAAATAGGGCTCCAAATTATTGCTAGAAATTTACCTAATAATTTTTATTATACATAGTATTAAATTCATCTGATTCAAATACTTTTCAAATACACATACGTATATGTATATTTTATACAATTATAATATAAAATTTTTTAATATAGTTTTCTTATAATATTTAGAACAATTCAAATAAATATTATAAACATACATAATAATATCGTAATTAAGCATTAAAGATAATTATTTTAATAATTGGGTATAACAATGTTATGTTATCATTTAATTATAGTTTTATGAAAACATTACATTAGAATTATTTATTATAAAAAAATTTTTGTTTAAATAATGGGAATTACATTATAATACAATTTAATTAAATTAAATAATAAAAGTAAAAAGTAAAAAAATTAAATTCTTAATCGACAATCAGTGAAAGAGCAGAGTATATAGGATGTATTGGACTGTTTGGTGTTTCGAGTTTCGCGTTTGGACGTATACGATGACTAACAGTGCATACCGTTAGGCCAAATAGCGCTTTGGTACCTTATTTCAGCTGCGAAGAATGTCATATTGCTTACGGTACATGCTGAAATTATCCCGATGCACCTTAATATTGAATTACTACATGCGTCTTAAAGAAAATCGATTTTGGTCATCTATTTTCATCAATTAGCGCGCTTTGAAAGTCTTGTTATATTTTCTGTTTGGTTCAGTAGTTGTGATAACTAATCGATGATTAGTCGATTATTTTTATTTTTAAAGAATATTGAATATTCGATTATCTTTTCATTTAATAAAAATGTACATTATGTGTAGGTACACATCTCGTTAAAATATATTTTAATACACAATTCAGTATTCTTGTTTATTATTTTTTCTATGCTAAAATTTAAATACAATATCGTTGTTTAATTAGATAGATAAAAAAAGTAAGATATGGATATTTAACTAAATTCAACGATTTTATACAAGATGATTATATATCTTTTACATTCCGATTTTGATAATATACTTAATATATTTTTCTTTATATATTTATATATTTTAATTTAATATAATTTAATATTTTAATTTTTTCCATCTAGATATTCACTTATAGGACTCAATAATATTTAGCTATAATGATATTTAATAAAGTTATCATGAGAAATATAAGTTAACAAATACTTTTGTCAATAATTTTACAAGAGAAAACCCAATTATATTATTGTCAAGATATGCTAACATTTTATAAGCTTCTGTTAGTGTTCCTTTAAATATATTTTATATTGTCTGATATTATAAAGACATTAAATTTAAAATATTTGGAAGTATATATAAGAAAATTATGATATATATATATATAAGAAATATAAATTAGTAAGTCGAATGTCATTATATATAAACATTAATTAATCGTACATCAATGTATCCTGTTTAAAACTATTAAGTACGCAATTTACGCGCATTATGTTCTTTACGTATAGATAATCGATCAAGTAACATATAATATAGCAATATAGTAGTTTGAATCTGTTATATTAAAAAAGTATTCTGTTATATAAGATTTTTACTTAAGCTTCGGATGATAGTTAAGCCGGTGCTCATAGAATTATGCTTAGCATTTGATGTTTATAGACGCACAATAAATAGCGAATCAATATCTTATCGTAAGTGATTGTTGCCTTACTTTTTAAGAGAATTATGGTAGTTCACATACTACGTAAAATTGTTGCACGGGTCATCTATTGCTGTGAACAATAATAGAAGCTTCTTAGTTTCTCCTTAATAGAGTTAGAGATCTAGGATGTATTATCTTATTGTAAAAGCCAATTTCTTTATTAAGTTGCCAAGCTTTTAAATGAGCTTTAAAAAAATATATTAATTTTCGAATTCCACATAAAATATTAACTTCGTGATTGTTCCTCATCTATGGTATAATATTCTGGATTTTTTATATATTTATGTTTGTATAGAAAGTTGCTTGGTTACAGGTTTTAAAAAAAATGTATAGAAATATAATGATGCGGTCTTACATGAAAATCTTCACTTTTCTTTGGATTATGTTTGACTTAATGTAAACCACTTAAGAGACATGAGACGTAACTACTTCTTGCATTGAATTCGTCCATGACTTCCATTTCTGGATTTTTTTATGATTTTTACAAGTATTCGTTTTAAATGCGCGATGTCAATGTACCCGTTATGAGTTCATTGATCAGTAGATAAGCAATTGTATGTCTACGCGGAATGTAAAATTCAATTTGTATCATTGATCATACTTATCGTGTAGTACAATATTTACGATCGTCTGTAAATAAAAAAAAATATTCATCGATATTACATTGGTACATAAATTTATTAATTTATAAATTTGAAAATTAATACTCATTTTTCAATATTATATAAAATAATATGTCTACAAATTATAAATTATAAATCGTTTCATTATTTCTATGTATGACAAATTGTAATTGGAATCATGAATATATTTATTACTATTCATTGTATTAATTCAAGTTCACATTTCTATTTCTCTGGTCTGTTCTAATAGTATAAAAGCCATACTTCTATATTCTTCACTCTGTTACATAACAGAAATAGTTTTATTATTCTTATTATGATTAATAATAATAATAGATAATAATAAATAATAAGAGTAATAATAATAATGACTATTAAAAATTTGAATATAATATTGCACTGGTCTTATGTGGTATTAAAAATGTAATTAATTATATTACTTGTCAATAAATAAACTGGTTCAATTTGCTTTCATTATATTAAATACGAAAAATTTATGTAGGTGAAGGGAATAAATATTTCAAAATTTAACGTTCTATTGGTAATATTTAAAAGCTTATTTAGTATCTTATAATATGTTTCATAAATGTCAAGCAAATTCAATCTAATTTTCATAAAAATTATGATTTTAATAATACTTTTGAATGAATATACGAAAATTTATGTTAATTTTGCTATTTTCACCTTTAATATCAAACATATTACATTTTACAGATAAAAATGACTTTTTATAATAATAAAGTCGTTATATTCTTGATTTTATTTGGATTTGTATTTTGTCACAATGAGGATGACACGTCAACTGCATTTATGGAAGCTGCACAGGCATTATTTGAAAATAAGGAAGCAATTGGTGGGCTTGAAGGTGTTGCGAGAGCATTTATGGAATCTGGCACCGGAAAACAGGTCATTAATACAAACAAATTATAAAATTCATTAGATATTATTTTTATTTTAATTACGGGTAATAGATGTAAATTACTGTTTTTTAAAATTTTTTACAAATTGAATAATGTTGAATATTATTGAATTATATAAATTGAAATAACATCTATGTTTAAGTTTTTTATTTAAATATTAAAGTTTTTCTTTCTTTTAATACTAGATATGCCATTATTTATATATTTATGAATTTATATTCAAAAGTGATTTCTTTATATGTTAAATATATAATAAAAATAACAATTAAAAGTGAATATACACTTCAGTAAATTACAAAATATTCTTTTAAAAATAAAATCAAACACTTATTTTACTAAATTTTTAAGATCGTTTATTTGTTATTAGAATTGTAGATTACTTTTTATTAAAACTATGCCAAATGTAAGAACATAAATTAAAAAAAATAAGCATATTGCATAATTAAAAATTATTACAGTACAGGATTTATATATAATATATAAATATAATATATAAAATAACATTAATTTGGAAAATATATCTTTCTTCTGAAATATGATAGAGCAATAAGAATAGTTAAGGGATAACAGAATTTTATAATATATTATCTGTTCTAAAATAAAATTTTAGAAATCTTCAATATACTTTGAATATATTTAGAATACATTGATTGTTATTAAAAATTCAAAATATTAGAAACTTTTTTGTGTTAAAATGTTTAAATACTAAGTGAGAAACAATGTAATAAAAACTTCAATAAATTTCAGCTAATTAAGATTCACTGTTTTTTTTATACTTATATATAAAATAATAATTACATATGTAAAACGATAAAACAAAATTAGAAATGTATATTAAATAATTCAAATTCAATAATCGAACAAACTAGGTAGGAGATATGTTGACAAGTCAGAAGTCAAAATCTGACGGACTCGGCAAGATACTTTCGGGTCTCGGAAGCATTATATCAGGACAGAGTCAAGGTCAAGTTAACGAAGGAATTGGTATTGATCCAAACATAATCGGTGATATAATCGGAGGTCTGTCCTCATTAAGTGGAGGCAGTCACAAATTCAAGCAGTCATGGGACAATTCCATCGAGAAAGACGTGTCGGATTTTGACATTGACAGCATGTTGAACGTAGTTAGTGTATTAATAGGACAGACCGGCAATGCCGAAAGCCTTATGGGCTTGGTACCTATGTTTCTAGATACGTTCTCAAGCAAAAATAGTAGGCAGGATCACTCGGATCATTCATGGTTTATGCCACCTATACTTGAGAACGTTCATCTTATGTGGGACCACTTCAGGTTGGTAGACTCGTTTTGCTTCGACCTACGAATCTATTCAAGTATATAGCCGATATGCTTTATTAAATTTCAAAGATAAAAATTCATATTATATTCAATGTCGAACGATAAAAAATTTATGTTGCCATATACTGTCGGAAGCTGAAAGCAAATATAAAAAAGAAAATATAAAGTGTTAAAAAAAACATTATATAATGCATTTTACAGCAATTATATTTTGACCAATTTAAATGAATTTAATAAGTTAAATGATAATTTTCGGTATTATATAGTAATTCGGAATTGGGTCAAACCTTATGGAAAAACAGTGGTTTGGCCAATATCATGGGTACAATGTCAGATGAAACTGGACGTCTTCAATGGGAAAAAATCATGGACAGCTTTGATAATCCATCTCTAAGACGTCGATGGATAAATTCTCTTACGAATTTCGTAGCTGAATGGATTTCACATATTTCGGATCCAATAACTCAGCAACGTTATCTCATCACCGCGCAGTTCGTTGGCAACAGTTTCTTGAAGTCACAAGGTTTTCCTAAATCAGTTATGTTTGAACCAGCTAGACCAACTAAAAGTCTTTCGAGGTTTGTTTATTTATTGTTGAATATAAAATAAATAATATGTTTTATAACATTATGTTTATTTAATCATATAAATCCATTAAAATTAGAATAAAACTTCATATTAAATTATATAATTTAGTATTAAATAATACACTAAATAAAACATTAAATCATTTTCTTGGTTATAAATATAGTTTCTAACTGTTAAACTGATGCATAGTTTCCATATATTATTTGCATGCTTGAGTCTACTAATTAATTGCAATTGCAATTGAAAGTAATTTCATTTAATGTTACTATTTTATGTTTAAAAAACATTTGTAAAAATGAATTTTACTTTTAATTATTTATATATTTCATCTACATCTTTATTTTGAAATTATATATTTATTTAATAAAAAGTATAATAATAGATGGGTAAAAGTACCAATAACTGAATGCTTAGTTTTGATATGTAACACAGAGAATGTTTCATTATTTTAATATAAAAACAATAGTAAATATTACATAAATTTTTACAAAAATTAATATATTTGGAAATAATATATCCTGATTTAATTAATAATCGCTCGTTATAGGTACTTTATCCTAGTTTCAGAAAAATATGAACAAAATTGTTGAAGTTCTAAATAAAATGAATTTTTATTAGCCAAGCTAACAACCATAAAACCAGATATTCATGACAAAATAAATTATGAACCAAACAATTTTATATATATAGTTGATAATTTATGGATTTAATTTATATATACAGTGAATTTTATAATTTTATAACGAGATTTTTCATGAGAAATAATTACAACAACAATTTCATAACGTGAGTTATTTCTTTTACAAAATAGGTATATTTTATTAGTTGTCAATAAAAATAATATTTATAGGCTTGCTAACGCTGTAGCAAAACGACATTTGAATATGCAGATTGACAGCTATCAATACATCAAGCCGGCTGTAGCTTACGTCCAAGAGCTTATGAATTTAGCTTCGGAGAAGGGTTTCATTATATCTCGTATTAATGCACGCGAGCTCAGTAACAAGTTGAGTGATTCCATTAATAATGGTTTTATAAGTCCACTTCTTAAGGTAAGTCAATTACTCCAATTTGTATTAATAGAGTATATTTTATCCGCTTTTCAAGCTGCTTTGCTAGATATAAAATAGTTTTACTACTAAATTCCAACAGCTTGTAAGGTTATTTAATAATTAATTTTAATACTCTTAATAATAAATGAATTAAATAAATTTTAATTATATTTTTAAAGTTTTGCAACATTTTCCTAAAAAGAGCATAACAAATAATTAATGATTATTTTTTAAACAAAATAACTATAAGTATCTTCAATATTAGAATCAATGAAAAATATAAACTTAGATAATCTTTAATAAGGAAAACCATGATTCTGAAACTTAATTATTAGATAAAATAATAAAATATCTAAATTGTTCTTATTTTTATTTATACAGTGTTTTAATTAATATACATATAATGAATATTGTATTAAAAATTTTCATGTTTTGATCAATAATTCGAATAAATCTGGGACAAAATTATTAAAAAAATCCTTTTACTTTTATTTACATTTTCATAATTTTTGTTATAGAAATAATAAATTAAATATTGGAATATGAATGTTAGTAAGAATGTAAAATTTTTTATATATTTTTATATTAAATAATAATTATTGTAATGTAAATTTTTAAATAATAGGTTATAATTATGAAATGATGTTACATTTGTAGGCATATCGTGCTTATAAATGGGGATTAAAGATGCCACATTGTGCAAGTCAAATTCTTTGCTCAATTAATCATAAATCAACACCGACGGAAAGCAAAACATCAAATGACTCGTTCCGCGTCGGCTTAACAAAGATTGCCAGCTTCCCAGCCGCTTGGGGTATCAGCAACAAAAGTGGCCTTAGCTTCTGGTCACTTTATGCATCCATTTTAGAAGCAGACAATTGTCTTGTAAGCTATACTGTATCATAATATTTACAATAATAACATAATTTCTTATTCTATTCCAAATAAATGCTTTTTTAAATTTTTAAATTCATAAATGTAATAATTGTCGATAATATTAATAATATACTCAAGATAATGTCGCAATAAATAATGAATTAAGAAAATAAAAAAGAAATTATTTACTTTAGAACGAATAAATTTAGAAATAATTATGAGCAGCTCTACTTAAGTAGAGCGTATAATTATATAATTATACAGGAAATTGATAAATATACATTTTACTTATTATATTGTATTATCTAAATGTATAAATTAATAACTATAGATACTTATTGTTTGCATACATAAAACAAATAATTAATGAATTGGATGTTATTATAGAAAAAATATCCAGCTGATTGCACAATCTTTCACGAAGAGGAAATTCGAGTGACTACAGAGTACGCACATAGTGAACTCTAGAAAAATCTATCAACTACTATGAAAGACTGTTTTAAACATAACGAAAAACAAAAATATCTTGCTGTTCAACATCGTCGCTTGTCTAAATGAACAGGTTCATATAGCATTCACTTAACCTTTTTTCAATGAAGATAATAAAAAATAATAGAACATGCGTAGGTTCTAAGATTACAAAAGAATGAAGAAATGTCAATATGAACGATAATATGTAGTTGTGATAGAAAGAGATTAAACATGTTTAACGATAATTCTATGTAAAATCGAACTTTCCGTCCATGAAAATTCATTTATGATTATTACAAATGTGAAAATAATGGTGATTAAAAATATTTTTGAAAATAATTGGAAATAGTCAAGCCAGAAAATCCACTCACTAGACTTGTTTATACATAAACGTAGATAGCTGATTCGTATACATAATTGTTGTAAATATTAGATAAATGTCAAATAAAATTAAGCGATACAAAAATGTGCAAATTAAAAAAAATAATGTAAAGTCTTAAATTTCGCTTATATTTTTAAATACATCCTTATACCTTGTATTAAGAGTCAATGAATTTACTTTTTCATGATACTCTTGCAAGCCCACTCTAAACCTTCCTGAAATGACAATCATTTTTATTACTAAAATAATTAAGAAAATGAAATATTGAATAATAAACATTATATTTTTATATTTCATTATTATTTAATAAAAATATGAATTTGTAATTTATTCAATTAATTTTTATGTAAAATATTTTTATGCATAAAATGTGTACAACAAATATGGATTGAAGTACCATATGATATAAATTATTAAGCAAAATACTTTTTAAATATTTACTTCATAATAAATTAGTCATAAATTAATTCATATTTTATTAAATAAAAAAATTTATCTTTCTGTGTAAATTAAGACTATTATAATTACGATAGTATATTTTGTTTTCAATCCATTTAAAATTTTTTTATTAGATATTAGATAGTCTTGTTATGTAATCAATGAATTTATACAGTAGTACAATTTTATAATTTTATTTAAGATGGTAGAATATCATACAGCAAAATGTTGATAGTTATTTTATATCAATAAATAAGCAAAGAAATATTCTATTAGTATACGTACTTTAATACCTGTTCCTTTATTAGCAACACAAGCTTGAATTTGCCAGTCCCGGTCCTTAATCTTGTGCAACCCTAGTGATTCAGCAATATCAGCAGTTGTGATAGATTGAACCATATCTTGTTTATTTGCGTAAATTAGCAGTGGAACTTTATAAAGCTTATCTTCAATCAGCAGTTCTGATAATTCTTGACCAGTTTCTTCCAATCTGTTTATGTCTGCACTGTCAATCACGTATATCTAAAATTAATTATTATTTAAGTACTAGAATCAGATTATTTTAATTAATTTTTTATTATTATTATAAGTAAGTTATAATAAAACTTGTAAGTTACAATTTTTATATTAATGAATTTTTTATATTTATGAATCATTTTTATTACAAATTTAAAGACTATTAAAAAAAATTAATAAAAAATAATGACAAAACAAAGTTTTTGAACTATTGTTCCAACTTATATTGGGTGTCAGTTATCTCAATAATTCTAGAATAAGATTATATTTCATCCCATGGTAAAATATGATTAGATAAGAAAATTTTTTAGTCTAATATAAAAAAATTATTTTTATTTGTATTATTATAGAATAGTAATTATTTAGAGGAAGAATTAAAATTTATTAGTTTCTAAAATAATGAAACGTTCAGAATATCAAAGAAATTTAAATTCATTAATGAATTCAAAAATAGTTTTAAACAATAATGAGTGTGAATATTCAATTTGTAATCTGTATGTCATAAATTTTAATATTCAATTTATTTGAAGATTTGATTACTATTAAATAAACATGAACAAATTACTATAAATTTTCATTATGGAATCTATAATTTTATTATATTATTCATAAATTACGGATTATAGATTAATAGTTTGTTTTTACATTATGTAACAAATATTAAATATTGTATATTAGATATTAATTCAATGGAAAAATTTGCGTAGTAAAAAAATAATTAATATTTGTTTATTTAACATACTAGAACATCGGTATTCTCAAAATAGTTACGCCAATATGGACGAATTTTTCTAGCACCACCAATATCCCAAATATTTAATTTAAAACCTTCGCTGTGTATACTTTTTATGTTGAATCCTTGTGTTGGTGTAATCTAAAATAGATATAATGTATAATTATATTAAATGTAATCTAATTAGGTTCCAATAAGTCGAACCTGGGTTATATCTTCATTTGCTAAATAGCGAAGAATTGTAGTTTTTCCTGCATTATCTAACCCCAATAATAAAAGTCTCAATTCCTTGTCTGGATTTGAGCGAAGCTTACGCAAAATAGCTAAAAGACCCTAAAATTTTTATAAATAATAATATAGTAGTTCAGGTGACTTTAAAAGTTAAAAATTTAACTTTTAAGAAATATTGAAATTTGATAAATTCATTTGTCATAAATAAAAATATATATTTATTATTTATTAAATTTATTATTATAATATATTAATATTATAATTACAATATATACGTTGAAGTTAAGTGTCCAATTAATTTCAAGTGTAATAAATTGAATTAAATCTAATAATTGGTCATAATAAAATCTATACGCAAATTTTATTATATTTTATAAAATATAACCTAAAAAATATATATTTACTATGAATATAATTAAATATTAAAAAATTCGTTTTTATATACTGGTTATTGATGTTTATAACAATTTTAATCTTTACTTTTTAATAAATGTTATAATCAATATTTTTAATAATGTGTAAGTAACTACTAAATAATTTATTTGCAGTTTAGAATGTGCAATTTGAATATGTGAAAATAAAGTTATGCGAATGAAAATTAAGAATGTATACTTCATTGGTTCAATTTCTAAATAATTACAGTTAAAAAGAATGAATAATGTAATAAAATTTTGTAATGATAATTAAGATTAAAAAAAATAAATCAGAAGTATGTAAACAAGGTATATGGATTATCATTTTTAAAAATAAATAAATCTCACTTATATTATATGTTATAATATTAAATATATCAAAATAATTATGTCTTCAGAAGAATTGTTTTAAAATGTGTTAAAAAAATATCAATATACATTTTTTAAATAATGCGCCATTTTCAATTGTATAGTCTCTGAAAGTATTCGAAAATGCCAATTATACAAAGAGGTTACGTTATGAGCTCTAACTAGAAAATTGAAAAGTGCTTTTGTAAATGTAAAGATTACTGACCATTTTTTAAAATTATTTAAGTTATTTATCTCTAGTTCTTGTAAAGAAAATAAATATACAGATGGTCATTTTTAAACTGAAGGCTACTTAATAATACTGCCATTGGTACATAAGTTAAACATAGATTACTGCAAGCAGATTGAAAAGATTAGTTAGTATTAATAAATAGTAAACTTATAGTTTTTAAAATTGTGTGTGGGTTTATTGACAAAAATTTTTGTATATACTCTTAAAAACTGCTTTGTCCTTTTGTTTTGGCAATTGTATAACATTCGGTTGTCATGGTTCTAAATATATTTCTACTGCCATCTATAAAATAACAGTCGAATACTTTATCTGAAAGGATGTAGTTGCTAAAACAGGTAACGAATTTATTTTATATAAAATATAATATTTAATACAGTACATAAAAAAATAACAAAATATTAAAAAGTAATATATTAACATTACTTTAATACTTATACATAATAAATAATAATTGGAAAAAATTTGTTAATATATAATTATGTTAAATTTTATTGATGGATAAACCTGTATAAAATGATATTCATGGGCATGATGATAACACTATAGCTGTGTATATATTTGCAATTCATTTTGATTTGTCGTATCATTTTACCACATTTTATTATATAATTTTTAAAATAACTTCTCTACGTAGTTTTATGTTATTTACATACAGAATTTATCAAAAGTATAAGGAGTATTTTTTTAATAATATGTTTACTATTTAGTAATTATTAATAATAAAAATTGTGTATACGTTTGTTATATACAAAGTTATATGCAAACAATTTAAAAATGTTATAGAATAAAAATTGCTTAAAATTTGAGATCTCTATTTCTAAGCATACTAAATTTAGAATCATAACCAGTTAAATATAAATCTTGCACATACCGAAACTAGTTTCTATTTCATAGAATAATTAAAATAATTCATATAAAATAACAAATTTCTTGAATTTTAAGAAGGCACTAAAATAGTATAATTCCGGGAACAGTGCTATAATTGCATAGATTTTCGAGAATTCGATATTAAAAAATATCTAGCTACAAAAACAATTTCAACAAACACAGGATGTGTTAATGTAAATATTTTATTGTATTTTTGCTAAAATATATTTGCAACTAGTTTATAAACTAAAAACATTGTAATAATATATAATAAACTATTAATTAAAAATAAAAAGTTCTTTATATACATAAGACTGAATTTTCAATTTAATATTGATCTGCTTATATATGATAAGTGTACTTTAAATTATAGAAATACTATCATTTGGTTTTTAGAAAAATGCCTAAAATATATTTCTCAGGATTAAATGCAAGTAAACTTATCCATGAAAATAATTTTCATAATCCTGGAACAGTATTAGCAATTGATAAATTTATTTCTTTATCATACGATGATATAACTGACATTGAAATTGGATGGGATTACATCCTTATCTGGAAAAATAATGATTTATACATATCTGGAAAAATTGTGACCAATGAATCTAATAAACTCAATCGATTGCTTAAAATACCTGAGCACACAAATCTTAAGTATGAACTTGTATAAAAATTTATTTTGAATAAGATTAATATCTAATTTATTAATATTTTAAAGAAATAAGATGTTTATTTTGATCATTTTAAATATTGTATATGAATGATACGGTAATACATAATTTATATAAATTTTACATTAATAGTAAGTTTTCTTATATTATGATGATTCATTAATTTTTTCACAATGAAATATATAAATGGACAATTTTAATGTTTAATTAAAATAAAATTAAAATAAAATTGTGTTTAATTAAAATTTAAAATTAAAATTAAAATAAAAATGATTATTTGAAAAATATAGAACTTAATATTTCTGTCTAAAATTTATTATTATTCTTAATTTAATTGTATGTAATTTTTTCAATTTAATTATATCTAAATCTTCAAATTGCGTTTAATTAAAAAAATTTTTTAATAAATTTTTTAACATAAATTACGTTGAAAATTATTTTAACACAAACTTTTTTTAATAGATTTAAGCAAGCAATTGCAGGATCTGAAAATGTAACGATTTTGACAAATGATAATTGCATATGGATGTATAATATTTATAATGAAACATGGAAAAAAGTAAAAATTTTTATTTCGAGCGTATCCGAAGTCGAGAAGGAATACGTAATTAAAATTGCTCAGGGACGATGCACTGTCGCCTTAACAAATTTAGGTCGAATTCTTAATATTCCAATATCTGTTAATAATCCTGAGGTTGTTAAGTTTATTGACGTTGCTTGTGGATATGATCATGTAATATTACTTACAGAAAAAGGAGATGTTTATACCACGGGAATGGGAACGTAAGTCAATTTCATTTTAAGAAATATTTTTATTGTTTATAAAACTTTTAAGTAAATTTCATGAAAGTTAACAATTAAATTATATATTACATTCTTATTTATAATATGTAAAAGAAAAGAAAATATGGAAGGAAATAAAAATATAAAACAAAATTTTATAAAAAAATTACAATATTTCACTTTTTATTTACACAAATGAATATTTCGTAAAAATAATTCGTTTTTATAAATGCTATTACAGTTAACTTTTTTTTTATTTGAAAGATATTTTTTAAATATAAATTATGTATATAATATATAATATTTTTATAAAACTAATTATTATAAGAAACTGTTTTAAAGATAATGTTTTTTTTATAAATCCAAGAAAAAGTATTATGCTTTAAATATTTTATAATTTATAAAATTTAAAATATGTGTATCAAGTAAATAATTTTATAATAATTTTTATTATTTACTCTATTCGTAAAAAAGTCGAGGACAGCTGGGTCACGGCGATTTAGAAGACTGTGACAAGCCTAAATTGGTCGAAGCTATAACAGGCTTAAAGATTGTACAAATATCAGCAGGTGGTTGGCATAATGCTGTTATAAGTAACCAAGTACGAAGTCATATTATTATTTTTAATTTTGTATTTACTATTATAAGTGACAACAATTATTAATATCTTTTTTTAATATAAATCTGCAAATTAATTTTACATTATAAAAAATTGAAAATATTAACATGTGTATTTTTCTATAATTGTGTAGGGAGATTTATATACTTGGGGATGGAATAATCAAGGACAGCTTGGTCAACCCAATATTGAAAATATTGTTGCAGTGCCAACTATTGTTGATTTTGCAAATGAAATTGAAGAAAAAGATTATAATGTAACTAAAGTAGAATGTGGGAGTACATTTACAATTTGCATTACGGGTAAAGTTGATTTTCTTTCAAATAAATATACCACGTCTAAATCTATTTTAACATTATTTAAATATTATAATTTTTAATATCTAATTTCTGTTAATGAAAATTATATTCTAATTAATTTCTTTAGATACTGGCGAGCTTTGGGGATCTGGATCTAATAAATATGGCCAACTTGGCTTATTAAGAAAAAATATTTTCGTTTCAAAACTATTTATTCCTTTAAATATTAATTATTGTAATTTACCAATTAAAGATTTCAAATGTCGTGAATGGAGCTGTTGCATTTTTACAGGCTAATTTTTATATTAATGTAGATTAATTAAATTTACTAATATCTGATTCTAATTCTTCATTTTTATTAAAGTTTATAATTTCGGAGCACATCATAGCTTTCGAAAGTGGTAAAATATAATTTGTTTGATTGCAACTACTTCTAGTGAATAATTCACTTGATATGGTAAACTCCGCCGATGTATCCTGTATATCTTTTTGTATCGATCTTTTGTTAGATTTATCTACGTGTAAATATGCAAAATAATTAAATTATTAAAAAAATTAGTTGTACTTTTTATTAACAACTTAATGAAAATATTAAATACATTTTCTGATAACAGGCAAATCATAATTTGGAAATGAAATAATATGTTACATTATCTAAAAGAAATATAAATAAATATTACTTATATATAAGAGTAATTATTCATTGCCTTCGTCAACTAAAAATTCAAATAAATTGCTATTATATTTCATATTATTTTTTAATAAAATAATGTTATGGATAAACTATTTATTGTGTTTTTTATGTTTCATCGACGTTTATTAAGACTTTTTAAGTTATAATTATAATAAAAATACTTACTTTTGAATTTTGAATTTATAATAATTGATGCTTCACCAATTAAGTTGACATTTTTATTTACTCTTGGTTTTCGAAAATAATATGGTGTATTGTAATAAAAGACACTTTTTTCGTCAGTATTATTAGATTGTAACAAAGTATAATGCACTTCAGAGCCAAATCTTTTTTTATAAAAAGTAATATATATATATATAATTCTTAAATAATTCTATATTTATATAACAGTAACGTACGCTTGATAAGTAGCTTCAATTATAATGTAGAGTAAATTTTCGTAATAGCTATTTTTATCTTCATTTTCATTTTGCGATGTCCATATACGAGCCATCGTTTTTTTACTTTCTTCTATCATCAAAGATTGTTTGCTCTCAAGGTACATATTTGAAAATAAAAAAATTAACAAAATTCTTTATTTATGAAAAATTTTGTTTCATATGAATAAATAATCGTGATAATTATTTAAATACCGAATTCATAGTATCACAAGTATAGCATGTTACAAAATATAATAGAAATTTATTAGAAATAATTGAGTTGATATTGTCTTTTTTTCAATAAGAGATTAAAAAGTAAGAAAAATTTATAATTTATATTAAAAAATTACAGCACATCCTATAAGAGCCATTGAAGGTAGTTGTATTTCTTCTGATGTTATTAAATATTGATAAACAAATTTCAAAGGGTGCAGTAAACCATTTCCGTCGAGTATTTCTGTTAGTGCTTCGTAATATACATTATTCATAAGTGTAAAAAATTGTGCCCTAGTTAAGTCTTGTCAAATGAAAACAGAATATAATTTAATTTTTATTTTTGCAATATAGATGTTATTTAATAATTTAAGTTTATGCTGTTTCTTTTCTATAAGTAAGCATCACTACCTGAATTATCACGAATTATATTAATTTCTTCGTGAAGCCAAAAAATGAACAGTTTGTAATCATATTCTTTTATTTGATTATAAAAATGAATGATATTCTCTGATACAATTTTTATAATCCAACAAGATAAAAAGTCTGTTTCATAATCTTGGATTTCTAAAAATTTGGCTAATAGCCTATAATATTAAGATTTTATAAAGTTGTTATTATTTTATGTATATTAATTATTTTTATATTGAATAACTTATTTATATTCCAATATGTTTCACATTTATTAATTGAATCTTGATTTTTAATATTTTTTATCATTGCCAAAAGAGATTGTTCAAAACTGATTTTATCAAACAAAGTCCTCGAAGAAATAGAAACCTTTTTAAATAAGCGAAGAAAATATAATTATAGGCTTTAATTTATTTATATATAATTTATTGTAAGATTAGGTAAGATTAATATTTTGATGTTTATTTAATTTGGAAGTATTTAAAAAGATAGATACAAAATATTATAATATAAGTATGTATTATTATATTCAACCATTATAGAAGTGCATATTTCAAAAAGAATTTAAACGAAAATTACAATGAAAATTTATGTAATTATATTATTATTTAAAATCTATAGAATAAATTATTTATAAAATTAATCATGTGACTACAGTGTATTAATTGAACATTTATTTTAATCAAACCGTTATTTTAATTTTTTTTTTTAAATAAAAATTTGGCTTACAATTTAACATTTATTTATAATGTACTTATTAAAACTTTTCCAAATTATATATTTTAATTTTCGTAATTACAAAAATATTTATTGCTGCCTGTTAAAATGTATTTAGTATTAATAAATTGAAAAACATTTTTAGGAGTTTAAACTAAAAAATATTTTTAATACAAAATTATAAAATAAATTCATAAAACATTGTTAAAAGTATTTTCATGTATATACGATAATATTAAATATATTTTGATAAAATTGATATCCGGAATTAGTATATATTTTTTTAAATTACCTTAAAGATGATTTGTAAATGATACCATAGGAATACATAAAGATAATTACTATTTAAAGAAAATTAATTAATAAAAAATAAAATAATTTAAATAATAGAAACAAATTGTTTGTTAAAAATGTAGTAGTTAATATTTTATTGTACAGATCACCTCATTTAGTGTTCCATTATTATCAAAACTTCGTACGATATCCTCGTTTGTCACTTGTGAATGCATTTTTTTCGAGTTTTTCTTTATCTTTAATTTTTAATTTTATATTAACAAGTTGAATAATATATTTATTAGATTTTACAGACTTTTTTTTATTACTAACTTATCAAAATATGTATTAAATTTAGCATATATAAGATTAATCTTTAATAGATGACAAATATTTTAATTTTAAAATAAAAAATTTTATTTAGTTTAAAAAAAGGTTTAATACTATATTGATAATATATTAACTGAATACTAATATGCATATTAACTGAATACTTTAAATAAGCTATTTATATATTTATAGATTATATATATTAATTAAACATATATTTAAATATGTATTTCATAAAATGCTTGAACTATTTTTCACATTGAATATTGATTTTTTAATATAAATATTTTTAATATAGTTAAAATGTTATTAAAATCTTTAAAATAAAGAGATTGGACGAAATTAAAAGTTTCTATGTAGTAAATATGAGACACGAATTATATATTTCTTTTATTCATTCTTTTATTAATTTTTTTCCATATTTTGTTTCAATATTTTCAGAAAATAACACTTCAAAGCGAAAAACTGTATATCTTCATCATTCCCAATGTTTATAGTATACACATATTTATATATTATATACCTTGTATAATATATATTATTAATGTATGTTCATGTATATAATGTATATATTTTATACTTTATGTATAATAATGTTCATGTGTAATAGCGCAAACTTTACACTGTTATATATCGATACTTCTATAATTTGATGGATAAATTACAAATATTGAAAAACATGAAACAGATACAGTCGTACGAAATGCTCCAGCTATGACGAATACGAGACGCCTTCATTGTATTATTTTTAATCGATTTACGAAAAAACACAAATTCATCACATTGAAGATTCTTATCCCTTGTCTCTTTTTAATTGCCTTCGTTTTCGGCAAAACAAGGCACAGGAAATTGAATTTTAGTCTATATACAACTATAAATTCGAAAAATTTAAAAATGATATCTGTTTCTTATTTTTGACAAGTAGCTAAATAATAATTTTAGAAGTTTATTAAATATTTTAAATTTACATATTTAAAAAGAAATATTTCTTTGGTTAATTTTAAAATTAATTTTCAGCTATTTCTATCCAAACGGATGTTTGAGAAGAGATTTTCGAATTTTTCGAGTAGGTTATGATTATCGTCATAGACTGATATGCGGACATTTTTATCAATTTCGAAATACTATGTTTATTTCTAGGTAAAATTGGAATTTTATATTATTCTAGATCGGCGCTCAGTTTCGTCAAAGCAATATTTGTTCGTTGACAGTACGACTGATGTACTTGAATATTTTTTACACCAAAGTCAAAAAGGCAATACGCAGTATGAACTTACCTAATATATACGTGTACCTCTTTTTAAGTCTTTTCCTACTTTCTCCAACTCTTTCTTTCTCTAGCTTTCATTTTGTTCTATATCTTTTTATTACTTTCTTGCAATGTATATGCGCGCGTATGGGAAACACAATTATTGAATCTCTTCTCTTTTTACACTTAATTTTTTACACTTGTTTTTTTCATGAAATATTTTCTCTATTAAGTTTTCATTGGTGGTTTACTTATTTTTTATCCCAATTTTTGAATCATCATAAATCATCATCATCTGCATCATAAATTTTAAATTATCTATAACAATTATACCTTATGTAGGATTTTTGTTTCCTCATTTTATACAATTTTGGCATGTTTAAGAAATATTAGAAGGGCAGAAATACACTAAGCTGTTATAATAAATAGAAAAAGAAACAGAGAAAAGAGATTTATACAAAAAATTTATTTCATTTTGTTGGTCGATTTTCTTTTTCTTTTTATCCCTCTATGGCATAAAACGCAACATGACTCCATGTTTTTATATACTTACAAGGATTGAGCGTATCCTCTGAAATAGTCCTGCTCTTGTGTAATATTTATTGATATATTAAAAAAAATATTAATTTAATTGGTTTATCCGCGGGTTAATAAAATAATAATAAATGTAGACGTAAAAGCGAGAAGTACAGAAGATCATGTGTTGTTGACAATTGAATCTAGACAAAATAAATGAAATAGAATTTATAAAATATTAATTATATGTCAAAAAATTAATAAAAAATCCGTATGTAATAATTTTTAAATTGATTTTATTGAAAATAATACAACAAAATGTTTTTTAATAATAATTAATAATTAGAATTAATTAATAGTTATCGGTATGTGTTGTTCTACTATCGTATCCAATTATTCATGCCTTAAAAGTCAATTAAATAATAATAATAATTTTATTATCTTTATTATTATTATTAATAATAATAATAAAATATTCAATATAATAATAAAGTAATATAATAATAATAATAATAATAATAATAATAATAATAATAATAATAATAATAATAATATAATAATAATAATGTCGTTGAATATAATGTATCAATAAACAAACATAATAAGCTAATAATAATATACTTGAGTTATTCCTTATTATCGTCTTCTCGATTATTTTCAGAGGATCGTCGCTTGCTATATTAATTGATAATGCTTTTAACTAATTAATTCCATAATTAAATTACGCATTGCT